GGGACTATTGCATGGGAAGGTTTTATTGGTGCCAGTTATCCCTGGTCTTCGCGCTTGTGTTAACATCGTCACCAGGACGGCGGTTTCCTACTTTCACCCACCACCCTGCTCGGCAAGTTCTTTCTCCGCCTCCCCCCCATACGGCAAGAGGCCACCTTGACCAGGCTACGACCATGGCAACAAAACACTCAACCACCCCCTCCAACTTGCCACAGCAGCAGCAAGCTGTCTCTTGCGCACATGCACCCATCCTGCTAACGGCTGGCTGCGCACGGCTGGCTGGCTGTACACACTCAGTAGATACCCCGTGGCGGTGGTTCTGAACTTAAAAGCTCTACTAAACGCGGGTGTTCTTTCTATTGGTCGTCGAAGGCGTTGCCCGAGAATGTGTCGCCGGTTCGCTGTTCGACGATATCCTCCTCCTTTCCGGGCAGGGCTACCAGCTCCAGGGTGTACTCCACGTCTGCGCCCGGAGGGATCCTGCGGCAATCAGGCGGCGGGTACGAGCGGTCATACTTAACGTCAGCATGCGTTCGCTGGCCGGCCCAGTGTATCGGAAGCTCTGTGTCGCCTCTCTTGTCCTGTGGCGGTGGCCACAACCACATTGTGAAAACAACGACGAACGACCATAAGCAATGAACGAACAAGCAGGAGAAACTCCGTCGAAGAGGACAACGAACCCCCTCCCCCCCCCCTGGTACCCCCCCCTCCCCCGCCCCGGTGTTTGCCATCGGGGTTGGGTTTTCGTCGCTTGGCAACGACGTAGTAAAACAAGCCGACCACTTAATGAGCTCGGCAACCAGGTCACCGCTTCTTTTTTTGCCTTTGTTTCTTTTTTGCGGTAACCGTAAATGGTTGTCGAGTAGACTATGTTGTGCGGGGTCGAGAACCCTCACTCCCTGCGAAGAGGATGATCGCACCACGTTGTGTCAAATTGGTCAAGTACCCTCGAGGCAGTTACACAGGGCTTACAACTGTCTCTGGAAGTAAAAGCATCAGACAAAAAATTGAGTCATTCACAGCTGTCATCCGTACGCAAGGAAGTAAGCACAAGATGCCGAACACCCTTAGCAGGATGCAACCCAACCTTCAGGCGACTCGCCGAATACCTCACGGCACTTTGCGCTTGGTGATGTAAGAGCCTAGTCCGGTGAGAACCCGGCGTGTTCCGTCCCGGCTTTGTAGGGATGCGAGGTCAACGGTCTATTGTAACGACTACGGCATGCACGTCTATGAGTACACCCCCCCCCCCCCCAGTGGAAAACGTGAAACGTCTTCTTCTGTGTTCGGGCTGAGGGGCTTCATCCCCTTCTGACAAATCATTTTTCACTCACCACTCGTGGGGTTCATCTCACGCCTCTAAATATTCTTCGTTGTGCTACAGGCGTGAGATATCAAAGACTGCACGCTGAACGCGCTCTGCAGGCGACAGCTCTTCCGTTCCACGACCCTACTAAATGTCGATGCCTTAAGAAACACCAGTAAATAGCCTGTCGGGCGCAGTCGTTGCAACTCCCAAGGCCTACTGTAGATACGATAGCTCGTACATCTCTCCGAGGGCACAGCCATCTGTAGCTGTCGCATGAAGCAATAATCGCGTCTACGCCAAATATGCTACCGGAGGGACCCGGCCAAAAGTAAAAGTCTTGCTTTCTCACCTAGGCCTTCCGGGGCTCGGTGGGCGGCCCTTGTTTCCGAAGGCGAGGTTAGCCGGGCACGTGAGCTGCCACTTGTCGCCCACCCTCATCATTAACAACGCCTCCTCCACGCCCTTTTCTCGCACACAAACGAGAAACAGGAGAGAGTAAAGAAATTCATCGTCACCTCATCGTTACCAAGGCCTCTTTGACAAGAATGAGCGACACGAAAGTCAATAAATTCATCACCGTGTCATCAGTAACAAGGCCTCCTTGCACACGCACGAGAAACAGAAGGAGTCAACAAAATCATCATCGCCTAATCGTTAACAAGGTCTCATTGACAAGAATGACAAAACAGAAAGGAAACTATCGCCGCCTCATCATTGGCGAGGCCTTCTCGACGCCCCCGTACGAGATACACAGCACACAAGAGTCAAGGAAACTATTTATCGTCACATCCAACTGACCTTTACGAGCGTCCCGACCCCCGCGCGCATGTAGTACGGCTCCGCCGTGTTGAAGATGTTGTCGAACTCGTAGGTGCCGTAGTTGCCCTTGAAGCGGACGCCGATGAGGTCCCCTTGCTCCGCCACGGGACCCTTGCCCTGCACCAGCTTGTTGATCTTGAGGCCACTCGCCGTCGTCAGGGAGTCCTGTTCCGTCGCAGCAGGCGGTGTATGTATGGGGCCGGGAGCAGATGAGGAAGACGTGAGCATCTCGATTGATGAATCAATCCCAAAATAGTGTCTGCTTCTAAAGCTTTCAACGAACGAAGAACCGCCCTTTGGACTGTGGAGGGGGGCCTTCGGGAAATTGATTCTACAAGGGGTGTGGAGGGCCGCTCTGTTAGAAGTCGTGGGATTTTGCGTCAGTAGACACACAGAGCCCATTTCATTTCCTCGCAGAAAAACACACATTCATCTCTACTATTAGCCACAGACAACAGGGCAGGACTTAAATTCGCGCCAACGTAGTTTTGTGTGTGTGGCAGCGTTCACGCTATTTGACACGGGTCGTGGAAACAGAGGACGTCGAGAACTTTCCAGGCAAGTTATCCGAGTGTGGCTCGGAGGTTTGAAAATGACTGTATTCTAAAACCATGGTTCACGCCTCAGGTCGCACCCGTGGGATACATATCATATCAGTGGAAGCCTTGAGGACGAGTCTTTCGATTCGTTCTTTAGCCGGGTAGGGCTTCATACAGATAGCACCCGCACTCAAGAACCTCTAATTTTCGCCGAGGCTGGGGTTTTCAGTTTCCTCTTGTGGGTTATTGTACAATCGGCCGTTACACAGGTTCTAATTTTCTATTATAGTGCAGCGGTTCTTAACCGGGTTCACGTACGCTAAATTGTTTTGCCGAGGCTGGGGTTCTCAGTTCCTCTTGTGCGTTACAATCGGCCGCAATACAGGTTCTATTTATGGTTCTTTTATAATGCAAGGGGTTCTTAACCGGGTTCACGCATGTTAAATGGTTCTCAAATTCTTGTGTTTTGAATATAATGTTGAGCATCGAGCTAGTATCTACCGAGTTCTCAGGTGCGGGCGCTAGGTGTAGTGTTTCCTCGTGAGTCAAAACAAATCTCCACAAAAAGTGTGGATCGGAGAAAGGGGGCTGACGGGGGCTCGCAGAGGAAACGTGGGGGGTGTCGTAGGGAAATGAAGACGCATTCTGCGAAACCCCCGCTCGCTACGAGAGCGACTAGAGAGGAGAGGCTGGATTGGGGAATAGAAGGAATGGAACAAGCGATTAGCATCAAAATCTCACACAACAATATGGTAAACCTCTCAATCCGTCGCTATGATGGCTAGCAGCAGAGCATAGGCGACGGGGTTGGGACTGGGAAAATGCCGCAAGCGTTATCTTATTTCGTAAGCAACATCCCAAGACTCTTCAGAACACAGATAAAAGGATGCGAGTCATTGCACCCCCGTGCGATCGTGTTGTTGAATAATTTGGTGCACAGTTCGTTTCTTCTCGCACCCGTGCGAATTTTCGGATAAATTTATGTGCAATGACTCCGATAACGTGTGGAAATCGAATTGTGAAAAACTTGGTTCTTGCCTCTTTTTTCGCAGCCCCGTGCGATGACTCCCATATCCATGCGACGACCCGCATCCTCGCGGTATTGTACATAATCCATGTTAAATGGTACTGCTGTAAATACGAAAAAACTATTTACGGCTGTGCACCAATGCTCTAGTTAGGCTATATAGGCGTTGTCCAGACGCTGTAGCTGTCGGGGAAGAAGTAATTAGTGTAGACGCTGGTTCGATGAGCCAGGAAGTCTCCACTCCGCGACAGCGACTGACGCACGCGGTGTGTGTCGGCAAGGGTAAAGATGTTACTACTACAGCTGCTGTTGGTGGTGGTGCTGCCTGAACGGCGATCTTTTACAACGCGTGCTTCGTGAGTCATGTGCTCTGAACAGCAGTTCTCGCGCAAAAAAAAAGAAATCCTTCACACAGGCGGGGGATTGATTCAACATATGCACAGACATTACCCTCACAAGAGTGTAACCCAAAAATTCGCGGACGCTACATACTGCTGTGCTCTGACCAGATTTATGGACGATTCGATTCTCGAACTTGCTCATTCGGTGAGCTCTCCCATATGCGACCGACCGGGACACGTTCGAAATTCGAAATGACCACCCTGGACGTTTCATGCCAGAGAGAGTCAGACACCTGTGTGACGTTTGATGATTCTCGTCCGGAAACAAAGTAGTCTGCGCTGTTTTCTCGCCTCGCTCACCTCTGCCAGGACCGAGGACGCGAGCAGCGTTTGCGCGGCGCCCGCTGTCAAGGCTGTCTTCCAAACCGTCTGCAGCAGCTCCCCCCTGCTCTGCCCCTGGCCCCCCTCCGGGCTAAGGGCCATGCGCGTTGTAGCAGAGGATACCTGCTGCCTGGTAGAAAAGTGATGTTGAACGCAGCAGCAGACATGTTTCATCGCGGGACGTGGGAATAGATTTGAGAGGGACCTTCGGCATTATAGTGGTTGTTGAAACGAAGGGGGGAGGCGAGAGTCGGGCAGCAAAGAGCTACGGGAATTCTGGTCGTGGGTTGCATTGCGAGGGTACACGTTGGCTGCTGTGTTTCGCGAGAAAGATGCAGCATGAGCTGCTGCTGTGTACACAGCGATATGCATAGCTCATCATCTCATCACCATCACACCTGCTGCTTGAGGAGGACGGACGAGGTGCTAGTCCCGCCGGCATGAACCCAGAAGCCGCCGGCGCATGGGCAGCCGCAAGCAACGCGCACAAAAACGCTGATTGCATCATGTTGACTTCTCTTTGCTTCTGTTGCGTGGATGGTTTAGTGCGTCGTCCGCTCTCTGTGTCGTGCATGAGATCGGCTCAGAGCTTTGTGGTTTGTTGTTTTGCGCGGCCTCGCTGCAGTGCCCCCCCCCTAATTTTCATTGGCGTGCCCCCCGCTCCCGGCCCATCACGTACACATACACGCCCACGGCAGCGCCTTTGACCCGGCGCGGGCGCTAGTGGCTTTGGCTACGACTTTCCAGTAGCCTCGGGGCTTTCCATGGTACGGCGAGATAGACTCCGAAGGGTGCCGGGGGCCACGCTGGCGAGCTCCGGCGTAGAGGGGGCGGCGTCTACAACAACAGCATCACGAAGAGCGACCGCTGCCGACCGAAGCACGCTCTGCGCTGGCAGGCCAGGTGGGTGCCTGTGTAGCCTTTTGGCTTGGCAGAGAGAGGTGATGTCATGATGTCGGCTGGGCGCACGGCATGGTACGCGCACCGGCCGCTGTGCGGCCGCCTGCCGCGTTATCGGCCCGCTGAAAATATGTGACATGAAGCCTGGTTGCACTACCAAGATTGCGCCGCTTCCAGCTTGTTCGCGCGAGCTCTGAGTATACATGAGCGAGAGACATCACTTCGTTTATAGCCAACGCAGACATGCATTGCGTCGGTTTTGCATCTGACCGTGGGTTATTGCGCCCTCCACGTGCCTTGTGTTTGGGCTCGCCGCCTCAACGCGTGCGCCTGCAGTCCTGCTGGTGCATGTGCTCTCAAGGATGGTGTAAACATCGGTCGCCCGCAGCAGCAGCAAGCAGTCAGTCTAATTGCGTTGCATTCTACATTTGCTGTTCTGGCGTGCTGTCAGGTATCCCTCCAGCAGCTGACGTAAGGTAGCTGCGTATTTTTTTACGGTAAGGCATGAACTAGACCCACTTTTCTATGTAATAGCTTCCCTTTGCCTGCTGCTGATTTTCTGATTTTTTTGCGCAGCAGTCGAACCGAGCATTTTTGTCCGCCAACACAATCGCGGGGTCTCTCACGCCCGCGCTGCTTCATGCATGTGCTGGGTAGGGCAACTCTTGGCTAAACGATCACAGACACACGCACTCGGCTAAACGACCATGACCACGACAACAGCCGCACTGCTGTTCCCAGGCATCAGGCATGAGCAGAAGGTCGCACCTCGAATCGTTTTTAGTATGTTGTTGTTCAACCAAGTCTTGCAGCAACAAGGAGCAGCGGCAACATAGAGCAGGCGCAGCTTCCATATCTCCGGGAGCAGACTCCGACGGGAAGAACAACAGCCGTAGTGATGCTGATCTTTTTCGAATTCCGTTTGGTAAGCAGCTAGCATCTGCGAGACGTCAGCCACTCTGTACTCGGTTCGTGTCACTCTGTCAGCTCGTTTGCCATGACGAGAAAAATGGGTGCGCGAATCACACGTGCGGATACATACTGTAGCAGTTGTACTGCATTTGATGCACGGGTCCCCTCGCCCCCACTTCAGTCTCTCCCCGCCGCACCCCCTTTATCTGTACATGCCATCTTTCATTGGAGATGGAGCGACAACGTGCAGGGACTCATCGAACTTTCAAGAATTCCGAATTATCTCAACAGCAACCACAGGAAGCAAGCAAGCTCTTCGATAGTTGGGATCATTTTCTTAAGACATCCTACAGTACCCATAATGTTTATTCCCTCTTCTCCCCCCCCCGCCATCATGTCCTCAGCTCGCCCGCTCCCGGCGGGGCTGATCCTGGCGATGGCAGCGACGGCGGGGGGAGGCAACGTAGTCTGTGCTTTCGCCCCAATCGCGTCAATAGACTGGCCAGGGGGCTTAGCGGGAGGGGGGGGTCGGCCCGATGGGAGTTGCAACACCAATCTGGCGGACTCGCGTGGTTGGTGGCCTCAGTTAACGGCGGTAGTAGATCGCGGGGGGCGAGGCGTGGCGGCGAGAGTAGGGGAGGGGCGGCGGAGTTACGGTGCGCGGAGGCGGGAGAGAAGCGGGAGGCGGCGAGGGCAGGTGAGGGTTGTTGTTGCTTGTATGCGTACGAAGTTGTTGTTGTTGTTGTTGTTGTTGTTGTTTTGTTGGTGTCGCTACAACGTTCTGCTGGGGCCATGCGGTCTGGTAGACGTATCGACCCATCGGCGTCTATCTCACTCCTGCGGCTTGCTGTATATGCAACATAGCCTTTTGAACACTCGCAGAGTAGGTCGGGATTCGCTGCCGCCTCACTACTCCACGGTGTAGGAGACCAAAACTACTACTGTACTTGTCTTTTTTCGTCTTTTACGACAATCATGCCTGTTGCAACCTCCGCACGGAGCCTCAGGCATGCCGCAATACGGTCTCCACACCCCTTGTTACTCTCAGCGGCAACTCACGCGTCTGCTACCAGCTCCTCTTCTCGGTCTCACTCGAATCGAACCCCTTACCCCGCGTGCTGCATCGGCCTATTTCCACCGCCGCAGACTTGGCTAGCAAACGCGCAGCCGGGAGGGGAAGTGGGGAACCCAAACGGAGACGCGGGACCCTCACAATCGGCCAATGGACCAGCCACAACAGAACAGGCGGGCAGAGAGCCGCAGGCTCGAGGTCCGCCAGTAAGACAAGGGCGAGGAGTCTCGAACGGCAACTCTACGCCACCGAGAGCGTCTCAGTCTAGAGCCTTTTCTAGGGGGCGGAACCCCAGGGGGTGGGGGGCAGAGGCCCGGCCCCGAACAACTGTTTTTAACGGCGTTCGGCGGGGGGGAGGGAAGAGGGGGACCGGCGGACAGGGCAGGGGGCGGGGGGGGCAGGGTAGAGATAGCGGCGGGGCGGCGGAGATGGAGGGCCAAGGGAAAACGCTCAAGGAACTCGTCATGTTCGACCAGATCCTTTCACAGGTATAGCGTCATCTTGGTCGGGATGGATTCGATGGTGATTATCATAGCAGTAACGTTCGCAGGTTTTTTGTATTAAGTTGTAATAAACATGTTGGATAAGGCTTGCAATCGGGGAAGTTGGGTTAGGGTTTGGCGTAGGGTCTACGTTCCCTTCCTGTTCTATCCCCTCATAAACTTCGTTTCGAACGAAGGCGGGCCGATGGCTGGCAGGCGTTGTGGCCTTCCTGTCATCCCCCCACCCCCCCCCCACCCCCGGTAGATGGGGGTGGGAGGCGGGTCGGTTTACGCAAGAGGTTCATGCATCCCTCGAGCAGCTGGAGGGCAGGGGGGGGGGCAGGAAGCTGCGGAGCCTTAACCTAAAAAAGCTGACAGCACCGGTTGATGTGAGGCAAAGTGCACCGTGGTGCTAAGGCACTTGATCGTGCTGGGGGTGGTGGTCTGCATTATTCCGACATGGAGACCACCATATGGGAAACTCACCAGTTCGACCGACCGAGTGGTAAAAACCACTAAGTTACTGAAGCTGCGGGTGACAACGGTTAGAATATTTCTTCCGGCCGGCCCCCCACGGGGTGAAGAAACCGAACGTATCGCCTGCACTTTTGGTAGTCCCTGTTTAAGGCCGCTTGGTGCAAAGGGATTTGGCCGGCCGCATACATACTGGGCGCCCGGGGCACTGAAATGTTCCATCTGCGGCACGCGGACTCGCCTGCCTTTCTCAGGGCGACCGTCCTTCTGCGTGGGGCCGTATTCAGGGACCGCTACTGCTGTGATCCCATCCCTAATACACAGGAAATGCTTTTTTGTTGCATTGACATTTCTGCTTGGAGAGACGCTAGGACATGTCAACTTGCTGTACGGTTGCCGTCGCGGTTTCGACATTTTTTGGAGCTCTTTTTTGTTTTGGGTGTCTATGTGGAGTATTGTTGTATCCTCGAATTTATTCAACCAAATTCCGCCCCTCGGCTGTTGATTGTATATTAGATGCGCTACCTACGGCTGTATCTGCCTTCCAATGACTCCCACCTCTATTTTGTTTGGTGTCAAAACACTGCTGCCTGTGCATCCTTCACAATCCGCCCCCCCACCCCCTTTGGCACTACTACTGCTGTACCGCAGAAACCTACTACTTCAGTACCGCTTTTATCCTCACATCATTTCCAACAAATTTCAGCTCTCTTATCGTTCAGTTTCAACGCACCGCTTCCTTCCTGCCTCCCAGTAGTCTAGGCAGCAAAATTGATTATTAAGCAAACATATGGGATAAAGTATTCAATCCGTGCTTTGGGGTGAGGGTTAGGGATAGGGTCTGCGTGCCCCCTCCCTCCCTCTTCTTTTCCCTAGATACTCTTAATCCTGCGTAGGCGGTCCCGCATCCCATTCACCTCCACCTCCACCCCCTACTGCTGATTGCTCATTGCTCATTGCTCATTGCTCATTGTACCGCAGAAGTCGCCGCCTGCGGGGTCCGCGGCAGCGAGCAACAAGACGGAGCTTAGCGCCAAGGTGGAGGCGGAGCTCTTCGAGGAGTACGACGCTATGGTGCCCGGTCCGGCCGCGTCTGCTGTGGGCAACAACGCGGGGGGGGACGGGGCCGGGCAGGAGCGGACGGGGCGACCGCTCAAGATCAACCTCGACCTGCTGAGCTACCAGGCCAAGCAGAAGAACATGAAGGTAAGGCGTGGTGCGGTGTGTCTGTCGTGTGGACGTGAGGTTTGATGTAAACCTTTCGGCAGGTAGGTTTTGTGGAACGCGGCAGCCGTACATGTAGCTGTTCAATCTTTGGCGTGACATACGGACGGTACAGCGGTGGAGGTTCATGGTGTAAATTTAAAATTTGGTCACACATGTGCGAACTTATATGGCACACCTGTTTAGTGTACGATACGTGGAATGGATTTTTTTTTTTCTGGTTTTGTTTATTGGGCAGATAATGGGCATACGTATATATTTGATTTTAGTGTATAAAGTACCAGCAGTATGAATGGGTGTGAAGCTGCGGTGTGAGACATCAGTGTTGTTGTAGTACGCATACAGGCATAAACTTTATCGAACAGCAGTATTGTATGGTATGAAGTTGCGATGTACAACGTCTGTGGAATGATACCACAATGCCGTGATACGAACAAAACAGGGGAACTACCGGGAGGCGCGGCGGCTGTACCGCACGTGCGTCGAGCTGGACCCCCGGGACGGCCGGGGCTGGCTTGGACTAGCGAGACAGATGCAGAAGATTCACAAGTGAGACTTTGTATGCATCAAACAATAAAAAAAACTAGTCCAACGGGTACGCCAAAAGTATGCCATGGCTTTGACGTGGTAATCTGTTGGTATGGTATTCCCATCCCATATGAGATGGGATTCCTTAAGTCTTGACAATCGTTCCGGTCTCTAAGGGCCTTCTATTATATCCGTGCTGGTCCATCTGACTTGGGCGCCTTCCGTGGTCACACGTCTTCGGAAACCGTTGTTGTCGTCCCACCACCAGCTACCATCCCGTCACCATCACCAACATGTGGATTTTTCTTTGTGTAGTAAGGGGGTACGATGGATGGGACCATGACGGGGGGTGGGCTCCGGATTGGCCTTGCTTACAACGTTGCGACACGTCTCCCAATCCTTCTCCCTCTAGGTTTTCACGTTAATAAAAATGACTATTCAACCGCACGTGCGCGTTTGTGTTTGGCGCCCAAGGTACGACAAAGCCCAGCGTTTGTTCGAAGCCGGGCTGGAGAACTGTGCCGACAACCCTTACCTCCTGCAAGCCTTCGCGGTGATGGAAGAACAGAGGGGGAACCAGGCCAAGGTGTCTACCTAGGATACTACCGTCTTGTTGCATATCTGGTTACTGTAGCATGTTGCCGTTTTATCTACCACGTTTTTTGTTTCCTCGCACCTATATTTCCTGGGCGAAAGCCTATCTGATCACCATGTTACTGCCACGTTAAAAGAAAATCGTCTCATGTGCTCTGGACGACGGTTTTACCTTTCTTTCGGTGTGTGTGTTTGCCGGCCGGGGTTGTTGCCCTGGGTTATTGACGTTTTTTTCCTCCTGAGGATAGGCAGTGAAAAAATGGGGTTAGCTGTTGCCCCGGCGCTGATTTATTCAAGTGATGAAGAAATATTCCTCCGCCAAACACCTCTCAACCGTTTTTTATTTCTCACGATGATTTTTGCTCTCGCTTGCGCCACGTGGGAAAGGCCCTGACGCTGCTCAACCGGTCGGTTCGCATGCACCCGGAGCATACGGCGTCGTGGGTGGCGTTGGGTCTACTGAACGAGCGTAACAAGCGAATCGACGAGGCCAGGGGGTGCTTCCAGACGGCCACTAGGAACGATCCTAGGAACCACTACGCTTGGCTGGTGAGTGGTTAAGATACTGCTGCTGCTGTCACAAGCAAGAGATTGCGATGCTGCCGCTGCTGGTGTCACAAGCTAGAGCTTGCGATGCTGCCGCTGCTGCGGTCACAAGCTAGAGATTGCGATGCTGCTGCTGCTGCTGGTGTCACAAGCTAGATATTGCAATGCTGCTGCTTCCGTCACAAGCTAGAGATTGCGATGCTGCTGCTACTGTCACAAGCTAGAGATTGCGATGCTGCTGCTGCTGGTGTCACAAGCTAGAGATTGCAATGCTGCTGCTGCTGCTACTGTCACAAGCAAGAACAAGCGCCTGGTTCGCGCCTCTGTGCAATCTACCCACAGCATCTAGTTGGACAGCAGTGTGTCATGTAGTTCGACAAGATAACTGATCGTTTGTAGGGGGGAGCGTGGGACTTTATGTGGAGCTTTCTTGAGGTTGTCAGAGAGTTGTTCGTTGAGTCAAGATTTTTGGAGGTTTCCTGAGTATCTCATTCACGTGGTCCGCCAGTCGCAGTCGCAACGCCCAACGTCTACCTATCAGATTATTCACCGTTTTTGGCATCGCTAAGGGGACTACTGGTACGTAAAATGAATTGAACGCATCCAGGCGGGAGACGAGGGTAGGGCATGTGGCGAGGCACTGCGGGTGCGGTGTCTGTCTTCTTCTGTCTCTGTCTCTCTGTCTCACTGTGTGCGTGTCTCTCTGTCTCTCTATAATAGTGATGAAGATGTCGTGCTACGCTATCTACCAGCGTACAACACTTGTCCACCAACGTACAACGCTATCCACCAACGTGCACGATCGATGCTGAGCTTGAACGATACCGACTTTCTAAAAAAGTTGTCAAACTCCTTCACTGGTGTATGCGCGCGCCCACGGCCAGGTGTGGGCGATGCTCGAGAAGAGGATCGGCTCCATCGACGTCGCGAGGGAAAAGTTTAAGATGTGCCTCAAGGTCAATCCGAGGAACGCCAAGGTTTACCAGGCGTGGGGGGTGCTGGAAGCTTCCGAGGGAAGCATCGCGCTCGCCACAGAGCTGTTCCGTGCAGGGCTAGAGCAGAGGCCAGACAACACCTACATCATGCAGGTACGGTCCGTTGATAAGTGCTTGTTGTTATAGTGCGGGGTGCCCGCTAAAAGCGCGGATGAAATTGGCCGGCACAGATGGAAGTATATTAGGAACCATAAATACAAACACAGAAAGACTACCCATTCGAGATATGGAATTATATCAAGGTGGTTGAGCTACTGGATGGTGCGGGTGATCGCTATACCGCCGGTGAAAACGCTTGGCACTATAGAGGGTCCCCAACTGTGTTTGGTATGTCGTTGCAAAGTCTCTGGCTTGCATGAGATCTGTTCAGGGCGGGACCGGAGCAGAGGCCAGACAACACGTGGAGTGTGTCGTTGAAACCCCCCTGGCTTGCATGAGCGAAGCTGTATTGGGTTGGAAGTTGGAAGACGGTTGTACCCTTGAATTGACTTGTAGTGAAACTTAAACTACCCCAAGAGGTTGGTGTTGGTGTAGGTGTTGGTGATGCCCCACATGATGATGATGCTTGACGACTTTGTGTGTGTGGCGCGGAAACCTTACGATCAGGCGTGGGCCTTGATGGAGGCGAAGCAGGGCAACACGGATGCGGCCATCAGCCTCTTCAAGGAGGCCATCCTCAAGAGGCCCAGAGACGGAGCGGTGTGGCAAGCCTACGCCCTTCTGCTTAAGGTCAGTGACAGAGCCTACCACGCTCAAACGCTGCTTGCGTTGGCGTTAGCTGTCCCTTTGGGGTGGTTCTTTTCTCGCCGTTTTGATTGAATCGTGGTGTTGTGAGCTCTGCCGAGGCAGTGGAGAGTTTGGCCTAGTTAGCCCGGATCGCGCTCTAGACGTGCGTTTGTTTGCCCCGCTGTGGGGTGTGCGCTGTACTGCTTGTTGTGTGCAGAAACACCAGCGTACGTAGTGCAGCGCAGCAGCGCTGAGTTGGTCCACAGCGAACTTTGGGTAGGGCGAAATATGAACCTTTGTTAAGGATAATTCCTCGTATCTCAGGGTAGGAACGACGCTGTAGGTTGCTTTTTTAAGTTGTCCATGAATCTGCGGAGCCCCGCCGTTCAACATGCACGGCACCCCCACGGCTTACCCTCGCTACCGCACCTTTTGTGGCTACGGCTTGAACAGGACATGGGGGACGTTGCGGGAGCGAGGGCGCTCTTCAGCAAGGGGACAACGCAGTCTCCCAAGCACTGCCCGACGTGGCAGGCGTGGGGTATGCTCGAGTGGGAGCTTGGACAGATTTCTAGAGCCAGGTATGTGGTATGTGCAGTGCCCGTGTCTCGATCGACTTGTGGCTCCACTTTCTTCGTGCCCGTGTCTCGATCGATTCGGCGATTTCATCGCTTCGTTGGCTCTCCACTCTGTTCTTGTCTAATGCTGTCGTGTGCATACATAGGTCGGGATAGAAACGGCGAAGCCTCTCTTCAACCCCTTGACCCCTTTTAAGCTGTGTCGATCGGAAAGAGTGTGCGTGGCGTATGAAGTGCTTTGGGTCGAAACTACCGCTATCCTGGCTCAGTACTTGTTGTTGCCCGGAACCGTTGCTCGGAACCCGTCTCCAAATACCGATGGCATGTTTGTCTGCAATTTTCTTCGCTGCGATTGCCTTGTAGACCAGCCGTTCTATCTTGTGATTACGGAGTTTATCTTCTGTTCCATGGCAACGCCTTTTTCTCCTCGCTATTTCTTTTTTGTTTCGAAAATCTGATGTACTGTATGTGTGTGCATGCTTTCAATTCAACAGGAAACTGTTCCAGGAGGGTGTGTGGGGAAACCCCAAGGGGCCCTACGTGGTTCGCATCTTGCAGGCTTGGGGCATCCTTGAGGCCACGCAGGGGAACTGGGACGATGCTCGCAAATATTTCGGGTGAGGGATTTGTTTTTTATGTTGTTGATGTTTTGGTGTTTTGGTGTTTTCGCGTCGACGGAGTTACGCGCATCATGACTGATCTTAATTGCCTGTTGCTCGCAAGTAGTTCGGGATAGGAATTTGTTGATGTTGGTGCTGGTGGTGGTGGTGGATGTAATATAACAACTAATTTCCTTTGGTGGTCGTAGTATACGTCGACCGAGCTATGCGCATCGTGTGCGCTCGTTTGTCTGTTTGGTATGCTAGCCCCGTGGGCCTTCGGCACTTCCGTCTTGTCAGCCCTTAGGCGAAGGAGAGGAAACGGCATGAAAAAAAAAGACAAAATCGCGTGCCAGGACATTGTTCTCATGCCCAAGGAGTGGGGATGATAGCATGACTTTTCGCGCACCTCCAGCCTTCATGTCGGAAGTCTCGTGGGATATGGGCGTTACGTTCTTGCCGAGACACGGAAGGAATTAGGAGTGCGAGCGTGTGTGCACAACTGTACGTCTCTCTCTCTCACGCCTCCTGCGGCACATTTCGTACCGTTTCGGTACAGGTTTGCGCTGGCGAGGGACCCGTATTCCCTCCCGGTGATGGTGGCGTGGGCCCTCATGGAGGAGTACGTGGGAGACATCGGCAGAGCGCGACAGCTCTTCGAGATCGCTACCACCACCCAGGCGGACAACGCAGACATTTGGAACGTGAGTGTACATGTACGGTGGTGTTGTGACGCCAAGCCTTTCGGTGCAGGTGGTTCGCTCGGTGAGTCTGTGGAGATGAGACAAGAAAGGATTTGCAGCTGCTGACAGTCAGTCCGGTCAAAATGACACAAGGGTGGTAGCCTTTTTGGGGGAACCGCGCTTGTCGGACGCGACAGCAGTTGGGTGTTTTTATCAAGGAGAAATAAAAAGCAAGCGTCGAACTGTCGTAGAAAACAAGGCGGTACTACGGGTAGTGGTGGTATCCGTCCGAAACAGAGCAACGTGGACATATGCCCTTGGGTTTTGGTCTCCGCCCCTCCAACCATCGACATGGCCGCGGACGCAACAGGCGGTGAAATGTACGGTGGTGGTCCCGATATTTTGCCGGTTCGTGTCAAGTCGATTTAGCCGGCATTATTTTTCCGGGAACCCCGGCATTATTCAGGACATTATACACATTTTTTATCTGTGTCACGCGATTTCCCCGGCATGACCGATACCCGGCATTATACCGGAACCAACCACTGCATCGAATTACATTCTCTGCGTTGATGTTTCGATGATTTTGTCTAGTCGCGCGCGCGCTGCCGTCGTGTTTTCATATTGTGTGGTGGTGATTTCCCATACAGCAGTGCCGGCTATGCATACGACAATAAGAGTGTTGGACAAGCCGAAATAGTTCTCTTGTATCCGGCTTTCTCTCTGCTGTTCGTATTTCTCAAGGCCGTAATTTCTTTTTTTAGGTCGACTCTTTTATATCCTAGCCGCTACCACTATATTTAGAAAATTATTTGGGGAAAGCATACTACCCGTTCGAGATATAGCCACAGCAGTTGAAAGTCAATTTATTGTGGCTGTCTTCTCCTCACACGTCAAAAATCGTTCCGGTCTCTGATTTGCTCAATCCACGCCCTCAAACAACAGGTGTACGAACAGGTGGAGATGAGGGCAGGGTTTCCAGAAGAGGCGGTGGCCGTGTACCAGAGGGGGGTCGTTGCCGTCATGGCCGGCAAGAAAGAACCACCGCCGAAGGAACGAGGGCCCTCTCTTCTGGACCCGGCGACAGCCAGAGGTGCGGTGCGATCAAGCTTCTGTCCTCGTAAGGGGCGGGAGCGAGACGAGTTTTCTGATTGGCTGTGTGTTGCCGGTCGGTTGGTCAAGTTCCTTTTCATCGTAGAGGTGCGGTGCAATCAAGATTCTGTCTCATCACGGGCAGGAGCGAGACGCAAGTTTTTTTTTTTTTTCTTGTGTGTTGCGGGCCGGTTGGTCAAGTTCCTGCCATGGAAGAGGTGCGGTGAAATCAAGGTTTCTCTCCTCATCAGGGGCAAAAGCGAGGGGCATTTGTTCTGATTGGTTGTGCGCTGCTGGTTGGTTGGTCAAGTTCCTGTTCATCGCGGCTGCTCAAACGGCAGTGCTGGCCTGGCTTGCGAAATGAGTGTATGACTTGGGGCATTCCAATGCAGGGACCACTGCAAGCGGGGTTGTTGGTAAAAACACGCACCCCATTTTTTTTTTTTTGTCAAACACCTTGCAACATTTCGACCCTGTCGTCCCACTCTTTTTCTTTCCATCTGTTCTTCCACCCCGTATGTATTTGGTTTGAGAACCATGTTCCATATTTTTCCCGGCGAGGGATATGTCTCGAAAAATAAAAGTACCGCGGTCACCACGGTACATACAGCAAGCGACACCGGTATGGCGGATCACCCTCGCATGCTTGGTGGTACATTACGCATACGGAACGGACGTTAAATGGTGCCGATCTTCTCTTGTTCCACTTTTTTGTTTTGTTTGTTTAGGGCCGTCCTTGCTGGATGAGGCTTCGCGGTCTTTGAGCATGTCGAGCACGGAAATGGCTCTCGAGGTCAGCCGCATCATCGGAGGGGTGCAGTGGGCGAGCGACTACATGACCTTCAGCGCGCTCAACAGCAGCTCCAAGACCGGCGGGGAGAGGATGGCCTATGAGCCGTGAGCCGAGGGGAGACGGCGTGGGAGACGCCGAACGCCGGATTGCTGTTGGTCCTTTGGAAAGGAATAAGTAAAGCAAGGTTAGTGCCTCTCGCCTTCGGTCGGCGATGATCGCACCTTGTGCTTAGGGTGTGTGCCGAGCTCCTTCTCTTACGCTGCCCCTGGAGTTTGATGCAGTTGACGATCTCCGTTGGCGATCTACGTTGACGATCTCCGTTGACGATCTCCGTTGGCGACCTCCGTTGACGATCTCCGTTGGCGATCTCCGTGTTCGCGTCTCCGAAGATTCAATAGTTGATGAGTCAAGTCGTTGAATCGGATTTGCACCGCACTGCTGTGCATGTGGCGCTTTGTTTTATTCCGAATTCCCGGCTGAGCATGCTGGGTGTGTTTGCTGGGATTTCGTGTGCCGTATTTTTTGTGTGTTTTGGTGTGACACGTGTGTGTCTTTTTGACCCATCTATCCAGCAGGCGTACAAGATTTGTTTTCGGAAGGTCGCGGAAGGAAATCGGAACAATTGCACGATGCTAGACACGGGAGTAGTCGTCTAGTTTGTGCGGGGGGATTTCTGTGTTTTGGTCTCTGCAATGATGTACCGTGTGCAAGGCCCCAAAAAACGTGCACGTGCTGTGGGGACCGACTGGGTGTCACCTTGGGGAGGGAAAAGCGAAATAGATGGGGATGGAGGTGTGGGTGGGGCTTGATGCTCTTGGGGAGACGACAGCAGAGAGGCGTTGGCAAAGCCTTGTTTTGTTGGTCGTCGAATGCTTTGCTCCGGAATGGAAAGAACAAAAAACACGCTTCTAGATGCGGTATTTGTTCCCACGGGACTGTTGCTGCTGCTGCTGCTGCCGCTGTGCTAAGCGGTGATGCTTCGAGTCGTAGAGTTAAACAAGTTGTCCTGAGGGTGGCAGTATGAATTATGATATGGCATTTTGGTTCTCGGATCAACAGTAGTGTGGTTTTGGGGTGGTGAGAGCTCTTGTATTCAATTGTAGAGGCTTTTTTCTTTTTTCATATGAAGACCATGGGTCTGGAGGATTTTTGGAATAGTTTTACGGGAGAGAGAACACGCAGTAAGATGCAACCGAGGTGCTCTCGTTGCGCCCTGTTTCAAGCACCTCGAGAAGCGACGCCGTTGCCAATGGAACTGCTGGTGCGTAGTGGGTTCTGATGTGGCCAAGTGGTGTTTACGTTTGAATTAAGAGAAAGAACGTGAGGATACAGCTTCTTTTGCTGTGAACCATTTGTGAGAACCGTCGTCAAGGACAGGCTTGCTTCCAGTCTCTCTCGTCCATGATGTCCTCGGTGGCAACTCGTGTACCATTTGTTTTTGGTGGAAAGCTTTTCCGCGAATTACCGGGCATCATTCTCCTCCTGCTGTCATAGGCAGAAGGAAAGAGCGACCGTTGTCTCCCTTTTGGCCAATGACAGACAGGAATCCTACCATTGCGGTGAAGCCCACACTCTGTTGCAACGGGTAAGGTTGAAATCACACTCATGCACACGGGTTCTTGAAAAACCAAAGATACATGTGCCACGACCACGGTAAGCCCACGAATAACGAGCAGGCAAGCAATTGGCCAATTCTCAAGCTTTGTGTCCTTTCAGCTGCCGGACGCACCGCATGCTGTTCTTGTATTCTGCGGCCTTAGTAACCGCCAGTTGTTGTTGTTGTTGTTGACATTGTTGTTGTCTGCGTTCCCCAACTGCAAGTTGGCGGTCTCAGCCAGCAGTAAAAACAGCAGTAGTCACAGGCCAACTATGCATACGTCCATTTCTGCTGCGGACTTCACGCTAACCCGTTGTCTCTCTATTGCATGAACCTCCAATCCCCAAGCCACAACAAACACACATACATGCCTGCTTTTCCCGTCACGAACACCTGGTACACAACCCACCAAAATTATTGTTGGTTCTTTCTCTGCGTACCACCATATCTCCATAAGGTCTTTCTTCAAAGCCTACAAAAATCATTTCCCATTTTGCCCGAATCTCTTATTAGGGTCACGGAAACAAGGTATAAGCTGCTCTCTCATTTGGCGCTATTGTTTTGTCGAGCGAGAAATCGGCAACTTTCGCACAAGACTTACGCCCGCTGTAGATACCACTAGGCGGTGACATATAATCTGCGCCCCTGACCCTCCTCTACATAAAAAACAAAAAGCATTGCCCACGAAGGCAAGTACCGCAGGATGAAGGGGGGGGGCAATGACAATAAAGTTCCGGTTTGGAAACCGGGGTAAAGCTTCACGTGTGAACATGGCAACTCAGAAATGTAGACCGAGAGGAGTTGACTGGCGCCCGACTAGAGCGGGACGAACAGACACAGACGACGCGCCACGTTAAAGTACGTCGTCGCCGGTCTCTCGCCCTACCTTTAGGGAAAGGCGTGGTTTTTTTCCGGAGGGTAAAAATATACCACTCTTTCCGACCATAGAAGGGTCATTCGTATACAAGCGCGAATACCACAACGGTCCCTATATTTCCGGACAGAGAGGCGGTCATCTTTTGCTCATTCCGCGACCCCGATTGGAGGGTAGGGCGCCCATTCGGCGTATGGCGATAGGCCCTCCGTAGCCTCCTCGTCATCAACTCTCCCGTTAGGGTACGGCAGTGGATGTATCCACTTCGTCGCGATCCACTTGTCCCCTCCCTCGACGGCTAGCCCCGAATGCGCGCTCCTCTCGTCTGGCCGCATCGAGTCGGCATCCTCCTCCACCGGCAGCTGTGGTGCACGCGACCGACCGTTTCACCAAACATGTATTTTGTGATTAGCACTGCTGCTGTACACTGTACATGTAGCTGGCACCACTGACAGCAATTCAGTGTACAGGCTTAGATAGACGGTATCCTCTTCCACGGGCAGCTGTGGTGCACGCGACCGACCGTTTCACCAAACATGTATTTTGTGATTGGCACTGCTGCTGTACATGTAGCTGGCACCACTGACCGCGATTCAGTGTACAGGCTTAGATAGACGGCATCCTCTTCCACGGGCAGCTGTGGTGCACGCGACCGACCGTTCCAAAAAAATAAGAAGGGCCCACCGAGAGGTTCCCGCCGGTCCATGTCAAAAGACGACGGCGTGCGCTTGACGACAACCGGCCTGGTTGATTTGAGGTGACGCATATTGATGATGCAATATGCATACGTACGACCTTTCATACAAAAACACGAACACGATGGCACTACTTCTTACGTGCGGTATCGACACACCCTGCAAGTCAATACACCCACGCATATGCAAAGGAACCAGTTGCTCTCGCAGGGTTTTTCGGTTTAAGTAAGCGCGTTGGGTAAAGCATGCAATCGGGGAAGTTGGGTTAGGGAATAGGGTCTGCGTACCCCCTCCCTGTTCAATTTCCTCATAACCTTAATGTCTCGCGAAACAGGCAGTCCACAGGAACATATCGTTCAGAACCACACAAGACAACACACCCACATAAGATAGCACCACCCACGCACGCAACACACCCGGTCATGGTAGAAGCTACATTGTGTGTGCTAACCAAGGCTTTATTTCTTGTCTTCTCGCGTCGTGGGGGGTATCCTACTCGTACGTACCTCCACGCTGTGGAAGTAAATGGCGTCTCCCGCAAACGGCGCTACAGCCACATGCACGAACGGAAAGTCGGTCTGGCCGCCGGTGAAGTCATCGTTGAGGTACAGGATAAGGGTGCCGAGCCGCCCGCCGCACACGAGTCTGTTGAAGTCTTCCACGTGGTCGGTGTGCAGCTTGAAGTAGCCGTCAGGCCGGTATCGTGCCACCTTCGTCAACGACACAAGCGTCGGCCAATCAAGCCAGCGTAAGTAAAATAGACGCAAAAATTGTGCCTACATTTGTATAGGTGTTTACGTATGCATAAACGCTACTCTTTCGTTTGGTGAGTTAGTGTCACGTATTGTACACAAAAATTGTAGTCGTAATTCGTACCAACGTTTTCCATCAGAGTGTCAAGTTTGTTCACTCATTTTCTAAGCGACTGTCGCCAATCTAGCGTTGCGTTGTTGGTGGAAGAATGCATCATCAGGATGACTACAGCAAAATCGACACCAGCAAGCCGGCGATACTTGTCTTGCGTGGCCGGAGACAGGGAGGCCTAGCTTACCCCCGTGCTGTCATTTCCTTGCCCCAACCGCCGGAAAGCTGGCGGCAGCACAGGGCTCGCGAAACCTCATACCTCGTACATGCGAAGGAGCCACCAAAATCCGCCGTCGCGGATTTGTCGCGTCTCAGCTTATCACAAATAACGGCCTCACCCAAACTCCCCCCGCCCCACCCCCACCCCCCCGGTATACTAACACCTGCCACTTCTCCATGAACGCCGAGGGCAAGCCGGACATCCCACTAACCCTCTCCGTCAAGCGTCCGAGAAGCGGCGCCAGGCAGTCGTCCGCTAGCCAGGTGGTTGCGCTCCTTCTAAGGGCGTCCGACTCGGTCTGAGCGCCCGCGCCGCCCCACGTCGTGGATTCCTCCAAGCTCTCCATGCCTTGGTCGATGATCGCCGAGCATTGGCCCGGGGACGCGAAGCCGCGCAGCCGGACCAGGAGGGGGTCGACGCTCAGGACAGCGACGCCATCCCGCGCGTACGGCTCAAAACACTCTCGGATCTGGTCGGTGGTCTTCGTCTGGGCGAGCGGCGGCGGGGAAGAAACGCTGTCCGAGATCTCGCCGCCCCAGCCATCGCCGCCACCGCTGGACTCCGGCGTCGCGCCTCCCCTGAACTGCAGAGCCGCCCACAGGTCCGTCATGTTCAGCTCCCCCGCCTCGTCGCCTTCCTCCGAAGATGATCCTCCCGCCGCCCTCCTTATCTCCCGCCGTGTCTGCTTCGCTTCCTCTGACCTTCTCTCAAGTCTCGCCGCAACCGCTGGCGGGAGCATCGAGCCTCGAATGGCAGCCCCGGCAATCCCGCGGAGCAGCAACGGGGTCGACACACGGGGTTCCGTACTGCCCGCGGGCCGCACCACGCGGTGCACGGCGGCTTGGTACCGGCCTCTCCCGAACACCTGCAGCAGCTCTCCGGCGAGCAGCATAACGTCAGAGCCGGGCCGACAGTCCCGTGATGCTTCCGGCCGCACCCAGCGACCCGTCGATGGCTGGATGATCTCCAGCCCCGGGGCTGAAGCGCACGGGATCACGGTCAGGAAGGTTGTGTCGGTGTGGGTGCCTGCGTGGGGGCGTGGGTCCAAAACCCGGGCGTTAGTTAGGGCGGCAACTTACAGCATACAGCAGGCTTGTAATTTTCTGGGTGTGTACGGATGTGTTGTTCTTACTCACTAAAAACGATCCGGTCTGTTCTCAGCACCTTCTAATATACCCGTACTGGTCCAAACTGATGCGGACGGTCACAGGCCACCTACGCCAAGAGGGTGCACACCCACTGCCAGAAATCAAAGAACGGAAATAAAAACGTTCGCGGCAAGAAACGGAGCAATACGGGATAGCCTTAAACACCGCGTGCTGGAAGCGCAGGGGAACAACATCGCTACCGTCCCCTCGTTCTTCCCCTCCCTGGTCGCTGCTGTTGCTGCTGCACGCACTGACAAAAAAAAAAAAAAACACGCGTTTCGTCGAAGACTGTGTGAGCGCTCACCGAAGGCAACGCCATCTCCGCCGCCGGCGTAGCGGCATATCCTCAGAGGCGAAGCGGACATATTTGGGGAGGACCCTCCCACGCCCTGTCGGCCCTCTCCCGGATCGACGAGGCCGAGGAAGGCGGCGGGGTCGATCTCGGGCAAGCTCTGGCGCAACACGGCTTGCAGAATGCCGCCTGAAATCGCCGTCAGAGCCCGCTGATACATGGCGTCCACGTCCGATGGGATCGGAAAAATGAGTGAGCTCGTAAGAGGGATTCGCCGTCATGGTCCACGGAAGCCAAGGGAAACAGTACGGGGATCAGCTGGGGGGCTTCATAGGCGGTTTGGTGGCACATGACAGAAGAGAGGCGGGCGCATCTGGCGAGATCATGAGGCAAGGGGAAAGAACAGAACTCTTTCACCGCTTCTTGCGGGTTCATTGTGGCCACGGCACACAAAGTAGACCATGGTAGGAAGCTGTCCCTCTAAGCTCTGCCGTCACGGCGTACTCACCCTGCCCTCGATCAAACCGGCTGCGGCATCACCATCAACGTGAGGGACAATCTCATCTCCGCCGATGCCCCTTGTCTCCAGAAACTGACCAGAACCGTAGTCTCCCCCTCCCGCATATCCCGACACGAATTGTCCCTCGGCTCTGATCGGGCCGAAAGCCGCCACTTTCTCTTCAACCGTACGCGACTCCCCCAGAAGCTGCTCCGCCACTCTCCCCAGCCTCCGGAGACACGCCCTGGCCGGTTTGGGCCGGACTCGCACGACCTGAGGGGAACGGGGATTCGGAACAGAAACCGTAAAAAAACTGATCAAATATTGGCATGAGGTTAGGGGAACGTGGGGATATCGCGGGCTCCACGCAATACAGCATGCAACACGGACCCTCCTTAGCCCCTGATGCACCCGAGAGGTAGAAAGTTTGGGGGGAAAGTTAGTTGCCACAGCAATCAAACGGTTTCCTCGGAAACGAGACTCTGTTGAAAACATTGTCTTAGCCCTCTCAATCCTTGGTCACGCCCCGCGCTGCGCCACTTTCATCCTCCCCGTGCTCCTCACGGAGACCACGCATGAGCGCTAGGTTTGGATCACCACTATGTTCAACCAGCATTGCTACGTAACCATGACAAGCAGCTGGATCCCGGAGAGCCGAGAACTCCTATTTAGCAAGCACTTCCATTACCGAAGGATGAAGATATTTTCGGGGCTAGGCTACAGCAGTACACCACAGGTGGTGGAACGCTACAATTTGAATTTTTTGTCCTTGTATATTCGACAAGGTAATCTCGTCGTATGCATCACACGCACAAGTGGTTGTATCCAGGCTACTGCTGCTGTACAGCACCACAAGGGTGGGTCGCTATATACACACGTGGTTTGTGTTGGGCCTATGTATTTGTATCGCAGACGTAAGCGGGACCATGCAATGCCGTCATGTCATACACGTCACTTAAGACTAATGTACCAATGGTTTTCTCCGGACAATGTACATCACCGGACCCCAGGTTGAACTTTGTTTTGTCTCCGTGTGATCATTTTTTGTCTGTCGAACCATGCGTTGGCGTCAGCCAACCGGCTGCTACTGTTGTTGCCGTCTCTCTCACCACAAAGGTATCCAGAGACAGGGCCCTTGTAAGTCGGAGCTCTTGCCCCTCGCCGCCCAGCAAGTTCCCGTCACAGTCGACTTCGAACGTTGTTGAGATAACCCTGTCGGCATGCCGTTGAGACTCTCTATTCCCTTCCAAGGGCTCCGGTGCTTCCACGATCCTTGCTCGCAGTTCTTGGATAATGGGGTTTAAGGCGGCCTCAGGCGTGACAGCAGCGGTAGTGGTGGTGGTGCTAGCCGGGGCGGTGCTCATCATGAGGACGGTAGTGTCGCCGCTTGAAGCCGTTCGTGCCCACGGCAGTTTTCGTGGGATCGCGATATTGCGGAGCGGGATTGAAGCACGCACATGGAAGGCATCCGCAACGGCGAGGATCACCGCCGCGATTGCTAGCACGAAGCGAGCGTTCACGACACGACTGCAACCGGTGCGCAGCAGTAGGGCGAACGTCATCATGTGCCGCTCGCAAGTTCGAATTTCCAAAATGCAAAGCCTTGTGTGTGCGTGTCCCTCTCGCTCTGCGCTCCTCTCCTTTGTACTGGAAGACTCTTTTTGAAGAAGAACGCCACCGCACCACCACACTGCACTGCAATGATCTTGATCTAAACCCGTTGGGGTTACCCCCCACCCTCCACCTTCCGTGCTTGGCCGTCTGCGGCGGTTGGTGAGTTGTTTGAACAAAACAGAGGGGGACTCCAACTAGGAGCGCGGCACAATCATACAGCCCACATACCCGTTGTGGGCCATATTTTGAATTTCATGGGGAGGGGGGGGAGGGAGTGATGATACATTTCCGACCAATCAGAGTGGCGCATTTGACGCGTCGATCTGCATCAATAACAATAGTTGGGACCGTTGCTCGACCGCCCGTCTCCTCCACACTCTCTCGCTCCGGACGAAATCAACGCTAGGCCTCGTACCTCAGGTTCCCTCTTCGAACCTGGACCAGCTCACGAGAGGAAGACAGGGGGACAGAGACAGGGAGCGAATAAATTAGGTGAGTGTTCGTGTGCAGCAAGGGGATTTACTGATGATGTGGTGATCGTGTGCGTGACACGTGAGACGTGATTCGTTCGTTGGCACAGGAGAAGCCAACGGGTCCCCCCCTCGCCCTACAGCAGCAGTAGCACGGATACCCTAGAGCGTGGGAGCGTTGCCGTCTTACCGCGCGATCACCTGTGTTGAGTCGAAGTGCCGGAGCACGGCGTATCACGGTGTGTGTGGTACAGCAGGAACAACATTTGTGGCATCAATTTTTCTTGTAGATTTGAATTTGAAGTCAACGCGTATGTTTATCGCGGGACCGCAGCACTACTACTTCTGCTGTGACTGGTGTACCATGCTTCGGCTGACGCTATGATGGTAAACAGCTCACACACCTTGCGCCCTTGTCTACACGGAGGCGAGATTGGTTCCAGAAGTGCGGTGTGGTGGAAAGGCACACAGACAAGCGAGTTCACCAAGACACCACGACACCCACGCTTCGAAATACGAATGGCGTGTCATATGCATATGATTCTCTCCGCACCGGAACCGGAACCGCCGTCACTGCCGCATGTGGCGCTCGGCCCGACTTGCTCGTTGTGTTGGTTCTAGATCACCTCTGTCCGACCAAGCCCGCTGTTTTCTTTGTAATATATGAGGTCTGGTCTTCGTACTGTTGTACTGGTACTACTCTACTGGTGTCTACCGTAAGCAAGAACCCTGGTTGGCTATTTTCTTCAGCGGGGGATTGTCATGCATTGTCATCCGGTCCGTTGGAAGGAATGTTTTTTTTTTCTTCTCATCAACATACAACGAGTGATTTATACTCTTTTCTTCGATAGAGATGGATTCGTTGGGTCATATTGATGAAATAAAGTATCGTAATTTCGTAATTTCGTAATTTCTGGTCTTGGCGAAAGAAAAGAACATGAAGCGGGGTTCTTCATCACACACACTCGTCACACACGTACGTACGTACGTGAGTGAGCACTGGTTGGTTGGACATGATGATGACACGACCGAAAGATTCTGGCCCTATGGATACGCTCCTTCAGCGCTCGTCACCCCCCCGTTGGTCGTTGTCTCAGAATTCGCTCCTGTATAACGAACAACGTCTGAACAAAATCCCCCCCCTTTGGCCCTGGTGCCTGCCGCTCCATCGGATAACCAGGAACTACACTCACTACAGAGAGACAGACAGGGGCCATCTCCGCCATATACTTATACACAAGCTCCGAGCGTGCTGCGGATCTCATCTCGGAGAAAATGACTTTCACGGCTGTGTCCATTGTGATGTCGACTCTCCTTGCGTCTCCGAGGGTAGAGGCGCTTGTGCCTTCATTCGCTGGACCAGGTCGAGGTGAGCCTGAGTCCGGGGGGTTTTGCTTCGTGTTGTACAATGATGTGCATATAACGAAGAAAGCAAAAGTGTGATACATAGTAGTAGTGTTGATTCAACGGAAGCAGTCAACCACTCTCGAGAACGCCAATGACCGGTCCGATGTATATGTCTACTTTTACCACTGGTAAGCATCCGTGAAGGTTGATTGTTTTTCTTGTTTTTCTGCCGTTTTTTTAAATGGGGTATACAAACCCTTGCAGTTGTCCGCTCCTCCCGATATCGTCTCGGACAGCAGTTTGCTGATTTTCGGTGCTTGTTAGACCACACCCCGCGCGGGCAGCCGCAACCCTTGCTGACCAACCTAACGGTATCATCATGTTCTTACGCTTTCGGCACCTACTGCAGTTTTTTTTTCTTTCTTTTGTCAGTTGGAAGAACGATGATGACGCACTCTCCTCAAGCCAACAGTATTCGACGCTACATTGTATCTGTATTTTGAAAAACGGCAAATGGAAAGCACTGGCTGATCGTTTCACACTCGGTGTTGCTAACCATGTCTGTGTGGACGGAGGTACGGAGTCCATGACGTGTCCGCAGACAGCAAGAAGATACAAGGGCCTGTCTTACAGGATGTCTTGTTTCTCTCAGATGATGAACTTTCGAGTCAACGTGCTCTGAAAACCACACCACAGGAAGCGCCAGCTGAACGTTGGTGGCGCCACTGGCTGCACTTTCAATCCAGCAGTAGTCTTGGCGTCGTATCCATCGATCGCCCATCACATCCTGATCCCTTTTTTGCGACCCCCTCCGCTTCTCTACCCCCACCGCAACGGCGTAGGCGTCAGCATGGTGAGCGCCTTGATCCCCTCGCAGGGCAGGGCAGCAAACAGCATCCCCTCCACCACCGCCGCCGGCACGCCGACGGGCCCGGCCCGAGTCTTCGACGGGTCGCGCGGCCACCCGAAACGTTCACCAACAGGCACTGCTGCGGCTGCCCCCCCCCCCGGAGATGCCGATGACGCTCGCCGAGAGCAGCAGCACCACCCCGCATCGGCGGTATACTTTACCGACGACGACGACGGCCTCGCCAAACCCTCACAGCTTCCGGGCTCCCTGTACGACCAACGAGATCTATCCGCGGGCCCCCCAGAGCCCGGCGGCGGCGTCGACCACCGCCACCGCGCCCAGCAGCTTGAGTCCTCCCAGCGTAGCGGCGCCTTGCCGGCGGCCTACCACCGTCCCTGGCGGCAGCGCGCCCGCGACGCGAGACGCCAGACGGTTTTCGAGAACAACCCGGAGGAGGGCTTTGGGGCCGAGGAGGGCGGGGGGGGTAGCCTGGTGGGCGCTAGGATGAGGCGGGCTTCGGAGAAGGAGGAGGTTGTGGCGTCGCGGAGGGACTCCCAGCAGAAGGCCATCAACAGGGCGGCGCTACCCATCGTGGATCTCGTGGGCCTTGTCTCGCCGCTTGTTCTGATCGCGGGGATGACCATGGTGCACATCGTGCCGTGAAGTTAAAAAACTTGTTGCGTTGAGTGCCTCAAGAAGCAGAGGGCTGGTTTGTCTTTGACTTATGCTGCTAAACAAGTAACGGAGTCGGTCGGTGGCGTGTGATAACTGCATGGATGGATGACACCGTGGGAAGTGGTGCTTTTCGTGGGGGTTTGGTGTGTGCGTGCATATATCGGCGCAACAGTGGTATTCTTGGGCGCAATTTTGACACGAGAAGCTGAAAAGGTTGGATACCAGAGCTACTACACGAAACGGCTACTACGCCCTGGTGTAGTATCTCCTCCTGGAGGTGATGTAGCGGTATAGGTACAGGGGGTTGGTCTTCCATGGAACGAGACAAGGCGACCCGTTTGTATGACGGAAGAGTATGTCCGCGGGATACCCGCGGCGGTGTGGAACGTGCTCTTTTGCTGTTTTTTGTTGTTGTTGTGATGATGTCGTCCGTCCCTCGTGCTGTTTTTCGCAATTTTCTGGTTGTTTTGTTGAGGTCCGTCTCCCGCGCTGTTTCAAAATTTTGTGTTTGTTGTAAGACTCTTATGTACTTGTAGTGGTGTCCGTCAATGATGTTTCATGTCGGGGGTGAGGGACGGACCGTCCGTGACGGAGGCTAGCAATAGCGGGCGTTGGCAAAGGTTGTGCTATTTGGCTTTGTATCGGGTGATGAGTGGTTTGTAACGCCTCTAGGCCAAAGTAGATGGCCCAAGTTTTGTTTTATGGAAATCGATTTTGGATATGTTGACGTTGTGGTCCCCAAGGGTATTTGGGGGTTTGTCTTTGCATATGCTGTTTCTCTCATACTATTAGTGATGGGGCAGACTCCATAAGGGTCTCTGCCGCAGTACCAACGTTGGACGGAGGATTTGGATGTAAAATTGACGGAGGCTTCGATGGCCGCAATTTTGAGATTTTCGAAAAGAAAAAAGACAGGGAGAAGGTTTGGAGTATCTCTGGGCAGCACGGGGTAGTTGCTGCGTCTTGTATGTCTTGGCTTGATTGCGGCAGTCACACAGTGGTGGGCACCAACGTGTGGGTTGGGTGTTGCGCCCATGTAGGTGAAAGACTGCTCTCTGGTTTTTCGTGCTGCTTTGATCATATGTATACAGCTGGTGGGTGGTTTTCGTGGGATGACGTGAAGTGTGTGTGGGTGTGTGTTGCGTGCGTTGCGTATGTATGTATGTGTTGTTCGGGTCGAGAGGCAATGCGAGCTCCTCGGCGTGTCTACCGAATTGCGTCGTGATCATGTCTCGATTGTTATTTTCCTTTTCTTCTAGCCTACACACCACATGCTTCCTTGTTCTTGGGGTGTTTTTGATACTGCTGGCTGACTTCCTCCCGCCTTGGGGGGGGGAAGAAGAGGCAACGTTGGCGACGGTCTTGGATGGGGGGGAGGGGGGGGGGGTATAGGTGGATGCTGCTCTACAGCTCCATCATGCATATTATTTCGTTGTTTCCTTGGTTTGGAATGTTTGGGTTTGGGGGATGTGTGACTTGCGCTTTCCGCCCCCCGGGGCGTGAGGCGGACTTGGTTGCGGCCTTGTGTTGCGTGTCTTGCTTGATGGAAGTAGCCTACGTCCTTATTGTTGTCGTCTATAATAGCTTCTCTGCAATGATGGCGGAAGTTTGTTGTTGCACAGTATTTTTTTATGTTTTTTCAGTTTTTGCGGTGAAAACAGTATTCTAATCTCTTGGTCGAATTTTGCTCAAGGAAAGGAGGAGAACGTTGTTGGGAAATCTGATCGTGTGGTGGTGTTTCGTGTACAGCGAGTGGATAACTTCCGTCGTTTCCCATGTGTGTGTGTACGGTTTCCGTTTCGATCAAGAATGGGTGGAGGAGAAACAGCTCGCGTGCTGGTGCAAATTTTGATAGTCTCAATTGTGTGTGCGTACGGTTTCGGTTTCGATCAAGAATTGGTGGAGGAGAACCAGCTCGCGTGCTGGTGCAAATTTTGATATTTTCGAATGAATGTTGGGGACAGGATGCTGGGCGTATGAAGAATGTGGAAGCGTGAAGCGAGAAGGGAGGAAGGAGTGGAAAGGTTTGATTGCAAGGTTTGGTTGGAAGGAGGGAATCGGTGCTGCACGATACTATGCACATCCGGCGCGGTGCGGCAGAGACGTGTTCGCGGGAGGAACGCTTCGTTTGTTCGGAGTTAAATCAATTGAAGGAAGTGGACGGGGTTGACAGCTTGGTGGGGCAAGCGAGGAAAAGCCCCAATGTTGCCGTAAATCGATTGTGTCATGACGCTGCTAGCGTCAAGGCAACTGGCCAAGGCCATGCTTGCCCTTTTTTAGCCAGTACGAATGCTGCTCTCACGTCCGTGCGGCCATGGGTGCGAGCTGCCTCCCACAACCGACGTTGCATCTAAGCTGATTTACGAAAATATATTTCTGTCTGCTGCAGCCGTGGGTGCAGGCACGAACGTGGACCATCCCTTCCTCACCGCGCACGAAACTCCCAAGAGTCAATTAACACCACGAGAAACCAAGCAAGCTTTCTTCACTGACAGAAAATAAGTCAACACTACTTGCTGTACACCATGCAACAGGAAACTCATCAGCCAGCCAACTCAGTCATCCAAGATAAACGGAGCGTTCCGCCTCATTGATCGACAAAGCCGTGACGCGGGATTTGAACCCTTGCCACAACGTCGTTCTGTCGTTCACATTCATTCCCGACAGTGCAGTCCCTCCCCCTCTCCTTCTCAACCTCTCTGTGGCCATCAGTTGCTACGATCCCCCCCCCCCCCCCCCCCCCCC